GTCCTCCTTAAAACTTGGAAAAATCAACACCCTGAGAATCAGCTGCAACCTGAGTGGAATGGACAATTCCCAAACAGGGCACACACTCTCCATGGACTGAGGAAACAGGAGGACCCAACCGTCCTAACACAGGAGGGAAACCCACTACTGATTTTCCCACGCTCATTACACTTGTGAACCCTTAACTGACCTAAATTACTTCTCCAAAAGAAACAGGAGAGCTAAGGCTCCACCTGGCCAGGAAAAGAAATGCAGACATCTTCAATCTGAGTCCAGATCGGGCCTATATAAATCCAAATTCAATCACTAAAAATGTTAAAAATAACATATTTTCTTGCATTCCCAAAGACATAAGGTCCATTTTTGAAGGACTGTTAAAATTAGGAGATATAGTTCTGTGTATCTTAGAGTTAATCCTTTTACTCATCAAATTTTGTACTTATTGTCTGCATTTTATTTTAAAAAGGCCCCCCCCAGCTCGCATGATGATTGCCAAGACGTAAGAGTTCAAGGTGGGACTCATAAATAGTTACATTTAAGTGCAAAACAATTTCATTCCTCTTATAAAAATCCAAGCCCTTTAATCAGCAGGGAGCAGGTAGGGCGGTCTTGCCCTCTTTCCCTCAAGACTGAGGAGATGTACAAAGAAAAAGGAAACTGAAACAGCATGTAAAACATTGACCAGGCGCTTCCCTGGTGACGCAGTGGTTAAAAACCCGCCTGCCAATGCAGGGGACACGGGTTCGAGCCCTGGTCCGGGAAGATCCCACATGCCGCGGAGCAACTAAGCCCGTGCACCACAACTACTGAGCCCGCGTGCCACAACTGCTGAAGCCCACCCACCTAGAGCCCATGCTCCGCCACAAGAGAAGCCACCGCAATGAGAAGCCCACGCACCGCAATGAAGAGTAGCCCCCGCTCAACCCAACTAGAGAAAGCAGCAAAGACCCAACGCAGCCAAAAATAAATAAATAAATATTAAAAAAACAACAACAACAACATTGACCAACTTAAACTGGTTTGCCTCAAATAGGTTGTTGATTCATCAAACTTTGAGTTATTTTAAAGACGGCACCGCACATGTGCTAGACAGGAACCCATGTCTCCAGGATGACCCCAGAACAAAGAATCTTCAGTCTACGAACTTAAAGAATAGAAATGTTGCCACCAGAGCCCTTTACAGAGAGAAGAGTCCTTAAATGAGGAAAATCTGGCTTCTAGCAGCTCGAGTAGCTTATGTGGACTGACTTAAGACTAGCCAATCAGCTTATTCCCCCAACCCCTCACATTTCTCCCCAAACCCTGGATCAGTGAGACAGATTTTAGCCCTGCCTCCTGCCTCCTTGTCAGTCAACCTCGAAGTAAAGCTCTTTCATTTCTCAAAAGCCCGTGCCATAGTATTGGGTGCTATGTGCATCAGGCAGTGAGCCCTTGCTTGGTAACAATAGATTTACTCTCCTTATTTCTGAGGGAAATATTGTATTAAGTTTCAGACATAGGGAGAAATTAGAAGACAGCAAAAGATGGCACTTATGTAAGAAGAAGAAGGGAAACTAACACCCAGCGAGCATCAGGTAATATGCAGGGCACATTGCATGTATGATTTCATCCTCCGTACAGGATAATACTGATGATAATAATAATAATACATATTGTTATTCCTATCTTTTGGAAAAAGAAATAAATGACTTGCAAAGTCATCTGTGTGGTAAATGAGCAAAGTCAGCACACAAACCTGGGTCTGTCTGACTCAGATGCTCACACTCTCAACAATACCCGGTGACTTGGACAGAAAGCGTTCCCCCAGCCTCGCATTGCTTTCCCATAAAATCATGTTACAAAATGGACCCAGAAGGAATGTTGAAAATAACAGTGAAGGTCCTTGTGAAAGGGAGCTCCGCTCTTATCCTTCAGAGCCTGCCTTATCCATACCCTTGTCAATACCCTTATCAATATTACTCCTCTATCTTCAGCCTCAGTACTTCTTTTGCTCAGAACCTCCCTTAAGCCCTGCTGGGAGTGATATTGAAGAGTCAATAAATGGCGGGCTCATGTATCAGCCGTCAAAAGATGTTGGGAACCCCTCATTCTACCACCACAGTATTTTTAGACTGAAAGCCTCTCTGATGTGCTACAAAGAACAGGATTAAAATGGCTAGAACTGCACAGCTTCCAAGCAGAAGCTTCAGAATAAGCTCCCTTTCTCTGTGTAAACAGATGTCCAGCCCTCCCTTCAGCAGAGGACCTCTGTGGGTCATCCTGAGCCCAAAAAGAGAAGAGGAAATAAATAGCAGATGCTTGCATCCCTTTGCTCTGTCAGCAGCCTGTTTTTCATGACCTTTTGCACCTTTTTAGGGTGACAAGACACATAAACGACAAGCAAGTTCTCTATGGCCAGGCTGTTTGGAAGGTTTAACTGGGTGGCAATTGTGTATAGTTTACTGTACTTTATGCAAACATAGAGGCTGGTACTCTAGTTCTATAAAGAGAATCTTCTAATTACATCATGGAGGGAAGGAAGGTAGGACAGGATTCTTCAACTTGGAGCACTTTCAACCTTAGGCTCCTGACGAAAGAGGCTGCTGAAGCCAGAATGTGTTTGAAACACACATTTTGTTAGTAGCAATAGTTTCCAAGAAACTGTCATCCAGTTCATTTGCTGTGTTTCAGACAAGCTATTGTCTTCCTCCCAAAAAAGTCTGGGATGTAAGTCTAGGACTTAGTTTTAGAAAAGAGAGAAACACTGAGTCCTCAAAAAGAAAAAACAAGTTTTAGCATGACTCGATACCAAGACCAAGTGTCTCCTGGATCGTGAAATTTCTGTTTAAGGATGTGACAGAAGGAAGCTTCTTGAGATATTTAAAATTAGATCAAGTTGACATCCACTTGACCATAGAAGAAAATATCCAGGTTTTAAAAAGAGTAGCTGGTATTAGAATAATTTTATCCCAACTCCTGCTCCTGTAATTTTTGTCATTATACATCCCAGTTTTTTACTCTTTTTTGAAAAATTTTATTTTATTGAAGTATAGTTTACAATTTGTTAATTTCTACTGTACAGCAAAGTGATTTGATTATATATATACAGACACATTCTTTTTCATATTCGTTTCCATTATGTTTTATCACAGGATATTGAATATAGTTCCCTGTGCTCTACAGTAGGACCTTGTTGTTTATCCATTCTATACAGAATAGTTTGCATCTGCTAATCCCAAATTTCCAATCCTTCCCTCCTCCTCCCCCCTCCCCCTTGGCAACCACAAACCTGTTCTCTATGTCTGTTAGTCTGTTTCTGTTTTGTAGATAAGTTCATTCATGTCATATTTTAGATTCCACATATAAGTGATATATGGTATTTGTCTTTCTCTTTCTGACTTACTCCACTTAGTATGATAATCTCTAGGTCCATCCATGCTGCCGCAAATGGCATTATTTCATTCCTTTTTATGGCTGAGTGGTATTCCATTGTGTATATGTACCACAGCTTCTTTATCCAGTCATCTGTCAATGGACATTTAGGTTGTTGCCATGTCTTGGCTATTGTCAGTAGTGCTGCAATGAACATTGGGTGTGTGTATCTTTTCGAATTATGGTTTTCTCTGGATTTATGCCAGGAGTAGGATTACTGTATCATACGGTAACTCTATTTTTAGTTTTTTGAGGAACCTCCATACTGTTTTCCATTGTGGCTACACCAATTTACCTTCCTATCAACTGTGTTGGAGGGTTCCTTTTTCTCCTCATCCTCTTCAGCATTTGTTATTTGTAGGCTTTTTTTTTTTTTTTTCGCAGTACGCGGGCCTCTCAGTGTTGTGGCCTCTCCCGTTGCGGAGCACAGGCTCCAGATGCGCAGGCTCAGCGGCCATGGCTCACGGGCCCAGCCACTCCGCGGCATGTGGGATCTTCCCGGACCGGGGCACGAACTCGTGTCCCCTGCATCGGCAGGCGGACTCTCAACCACTGTGCCACCAGGGAAGCCCTACTTGTAGACTTTTTAATGATGGCCATTATGATCATTGTGAGATGGTACCTCACTGTAGTTTTGATTTGCATTTCTCTAAGAATTAGAGATGTTGAGCATCTTTTCATATGCCTGTTGGCCATCTGTATGTTTTGTTTTGTTTTGTTTTGTTTTTAGGCTGCGCCGGGCAGCATGTGGGATCTTAGCTCCCCAACCAGGGATCGAACCCGTGCCCCCTGCATTGGGAAACGCAGAGTCTTAACCACTGGACCGCCAGGGAAGTCCCCATCTGTATGTCTTCTTTGGAGAAATGTCTCTTTAGATCTTCAGCCCATTTTTCGATTGGGTTGTTTTTTGGTTATTGTCTTATTCGAGCTGTTTGTATTTTTTGGAAATTTAGCCCTTGTCAGTTGCATCATTTGCAAATATTTTCTCCCAGTCTGTAGGCTGTCTTTTCGTCTTGTCTATTGTTTCCTTTGGCTGTACAAAAGCTTGTAAGTTTGCCTATGTCCAATTTGTTTATTGTTTGCTTTTATTTCTACTGCCTTGGGAGATTGACTTAAGAAAAATTGGTACATAAATCCAGTTTTTAATATCAACCAAGTTAGTTTCAACCAAGTGTAAGTATAAATATAAAAAATACTCCCAATTATAATTGTAAGATGACTGTAAAAATATAAAAGCACCCCAATTTCAGAGATGTTAAAATGGGGGAAGAACAGTGCCTTAGAATGAAGATAAAAAGGACACTTAGAAAATAATTTATTGTTCACCCCTAACATTGCTTTACTTCTTTCCAGCTAATTTCTAGGTTTCTGTAACGACAAGTTAGAGAAATGTTTCAGCCAGAGGTCACTGTGTCCTGGCACCCAGGTAGAGATAATCCTTGATCGACAGATTACTTATTTTTAAAATGTGATAATACCTATGAAGTCATCAACTGATCAGGATTAGTCCCACTGAGGTCTTGCCAGGCACAAGTAGGTTTCAGTGGGGCAAGGACACTTGATGAGGAGAAGACAGTGCCTGGCCTCACCTTTTCATCAACTGTATCTCCATACTTGCCTTCTTCAGCTCTGTTGTCATTTGGAGTTTGTTTATAGTTTCTTGCGCTGCACTGAAAAGAAACAGATTTGTTAGTTTGCTTTGTATTGGGCTGTGATCTGAGAAACTAAAAGGAAGAAAGAAGGAGGGAAAAAGGCGATCTGGCCAGAGTGAAAAAACGAACATTTTAAGAGCATCTACAGATCTCTGGTCGTTTTCTCGAAGGAACTCTTCAAAGGCCATTGCGTCTTCTTCGAGCTTTTTTTCTGCTTTCATGAGTTGTCTTTCCTTCATTGTTGTGTGTTTTTCAAACTTTTGAATTGTGTTTCTTTTGGTTGACAGAGCATACTAGGAATATTGAAAACAGAAGTGCATCAAGAACATGATTCCACATTTCTAGCACATTTCAATGGTCTCACAACAAAGGGAAAAATAACTGGCCTGGTCTGTGATCACTTGTATTAGAAATAACAGTATGCCCAATCTTGGGGCTACAGCCTTCATTGCATGTAGGGATTTTATTTTCAGGATAGTTAGAACGGAGACTCATGCCTTTCTTTCACTTTTACAAAGAGGTTCAATGTTGTTCCAAAATGGTTCTGCAGATCAAAATAGCTACGTATCCCCTCAGGCTCTATCCTAAAAAAAGGCCGGGGGGGGGTCCATATCCCTCCAAAGAGCAAGTCTACTTAGTATTATTCAGTGTCCCTCCAATACTTTCTGGGCCTTGGGAAATTGGGCTGTCTGTAGCCACAAAAGCTTTCCTGTAGGAAGTACCATGGGAGAGTCAGGTTCCAGTGATTCCTCCAAGGGGGTAGGGGGGTGGGAGGGTGTTTAAGCAGCCTCAGAGCATCCTGTTTAGATCCCCAAATACAACTTTGATAGCTAGCTGCTTTTTTTTTTTAGTACATAATATAAGAATCCACTTGGGTTTTTAATGCCATGCATGAAAAATAAAGTATAAACAAAGCCACATATATTATAATATAAATGGATTAGAATATGGAAATGAGATAACTTTAAAGAAACAACAACCAAAAATTAGATACTCCAAGTTTACAACCCCAAAATATTTCATTTATTACTTTGTTTGCCAAGTAGTTACTGAGTGCCTAGTGTGTGCAGGTCTGTTTGTTTTTTTTTTTTTTTTGCGGTACGCGGGCCTCTCACTGTTGTGGCCTCTCCCGTTGTGGAGCACAGGCTCAGCAGCCATGGCTCATGGGCGCAGCCGCTCCACGGCATGTGGGATCTTCCCAGACCAGGGCACGAACCCGCGTGCCCTGCATTGGCAGGTGGACTCTCAACCACTGCGCCACCAGGGAAGCCCCCAGGTCTGTTTTAAGTGGTACTGATAGAGCAGTGACCAAAATAAACAGCATTGCTTTTACGAAGTATTCATTCTGGTAGAGCAAGCGTGTTGATTAAAGGAGAACAAGTGGTCCAGTGGGCAAGGGCAGGGGGTTAGCCCAGGAAAGCCTCACTGATATGGTGAACGTTAAACAGAGACTGGAAGGAAGTAGGATGCAAAGCATGCAGATATCTGAGGGAGAAGTGTTCCTCCCAGAAGGAGAAGCCTCCTGTGCAAAAGTCCTGAGGCAAGAGCATGACTGGTGTGTCCCAGGAACAGCAAGGAGGCCAGTGTGGCTGGAGCAGAGTGACAGAGTAGAGAGTGGTAGGAATGAGGTCAGAGAGCGAGTGAGCTGGGGACCAGAAAAGTCACCAGAGGTTTTCAGCAAAGGAGGGGCAGGTGTGGAGGACAGGCTGAGTTCAGAGAGCAAACGTGTGAGACCTGTGTTCAGAAGGTCTAACGTAATTCATGCGAGAGCTACTGGCAACACGGACCACAGTGGCAGCAGAGGAGGTCGTGAAAAGTAGTGTGATTACAGATATAGTTGGAAAAAAATATATTCCAAAGGATATTTGGGTGTGGGCTGTAAGAAGGAGGAGTTGAGGATAACTCCAATATTTTGGGCATAAACAACTGGAAAAATGGAATTGCTGTTTACAGAGATAGGGAGCACTGCCTGAGATTCCAATCTGCAGGGGCAGGAAGGGTATAGCAGGGGCAGCTTTGGCAATGCAAAGTTTGAGATGCCTATGGAGCATCTAAGTAGAGATGTTAAGAACTACGATTACAGTTGTTGAGTCTGGAGTTGCGTTTGTGAGTCTGGAGTTCAGGAAAGAAGATCAGGCTAGAGAAGTAAACTTGGAAGCTGTTAACAGGGCAGTAGAATTTAAAGCCTCCAGCCTGGAGAAGGGTAGATAGAGCGTGGGGTGAGGTGTGAGCCCTGGGCATTCCAGCATTTGGAGATCAGGGTGAAGAGGAACAAGAAAATTATGAAGGAGTGAGCTGCCAGTGCCGTGGAAGAACCAAGACATAGAGAGGCCCAGAAACCAGCTGAAGAAAGTGTTTCAAGGGAGGGTGATCACCTGGGCCAATACCTGCTGGAAGTGAGTGGAGGGAAGACTGTGAAATGACCATTTGAATTTGGCAATGGAAGTGGTGTTGATGGCATGATGAGAACAAAAGCCCCGGATGAAGTGGGTTTAGAAGAGGCTAGATCTTCAAGGTAGGAAAGGCAATGTATCTGGGGCATGAAATGGAAAAATAAAATGTCCAGGTGAAAATTTGGCAGGTATATGCAGGAAGTCTTCTATTTGGCTAATGGGAGAAAGAAATTATTTTAACTACCTCGAGCATAAATCTGTCTCTCTGGTCATTAATAAATTCATGGACAGTCCTTTTTGTGTCTGCACCTTTAAAGAAAATTGAAATAGACTTAGGTTTGATTCATTATCCCTCAAAGATATTGTATAAAATAAAAGGTATGTAATTAAATTATTGCATACAGTATGTATCTGACTTAAAAAAAATACCTTCAGAGAAACCTTTTCCTAACCACTGAAAAATTACTTTAATAATATTAGCTACCATTTATTTTATGCCCATATTCCAGGAACTTCACTAGACTTTTAAAATATATAATTTAATTCTATTAATAACCCCAGTAAGGTTCTTATTACTATCCCCATTCTGTGTGTGAGGTCCTGAAGCTCAGAGATGTCAAGATGCTTGCCCAAGACTGCACAGCTAACAAGCAGCAGAAAGGTATAGTCCCTGGTATCACCGTGTTGCCCAGCATTTGCCTGTTTTTCATACAATTACAGTGCAGAATATGCACCTCCAAGAGCTTCTAAATAAGTTAACATGGCTTCCTTCTTCTACATTAATTATTGAATTCAAAGTCCTTTCCTAAGTGATTTTCTTGTTCTCCGAAGATTTTTTTGTTTTCTACAATTTGGGAAAGTACATGGATTTTGGGAGCCAAAGAAATTTTTTTTTTTAGTTACCACAGCAAGTGCTGGGCACTCTATGTGTGTTCATCCTTCCTTCCTTTTAATTTTCAATTTAAAAATTTGGACAAGACACATTTGGGGGAAGATTTTATGACTCCATCATCATACCATTAACCACTTTAACCTCATTAGCTTCAAACTGCTATCAATCTCATTTATAGACACTTCTTGATCTGATGAGTAAGAAACGCCCATGATATTTTGATGACCAGATTGCCCTCATTCACAGAGCAATAATGCATAGCTTGTACTATTTTAACAGGTTGACTTCAAAGAACATTAAAACAGGTTATGGTTTTTTTCAACAACAGGCAAACTTGCTTAATTCTATGAGCTTCCCGATTCTGGACGTAAGAGCTTCATGGCCTGAACAGTCAAGGCTCCACTTTAGAAAGTTTCTGTATTTCTACATCTGAAATGAGATGAGTGTAAAAGGTAGAACTGAGTGTAAAAGGCAGAGCTAATAGCTCTAATACTGTATCATTTTGGCTGTGACCTTCCTCCTTAGAGCCACGAAAATGAGTCATAGTCTATTTTTTTTGTTCTTTTTTTTTGTTTTTTGTTTTTTGTCTATTTTTGCAGCTGCTGAACTTCCCTGACCAGGGATGGAACCCGCGCCCCCTGCAGTGGAAGCATGGAGTCTTAACCACTGGACCACCAGGGAAGCCCAAGTCTATTTCTTGGAAAAGGTATGTTTTCTTATTTAAAATAGATTTTCTCCCAACTCTTAACCCCCATTTACAAAGACCCCCTACCATATTATGAGACTGCATACTTTGTTTTTCTCACCTCCAGAAAAGCCCCCAAACCTAACATTAACAGTAAATATTCAAAACAATATTCTTAATCAAACAGTAATTTAGCCTTACCTTCTGTTAATCTGAGAATAAGAGTAGGATCTAGCCCCAGTTTTTCAGTTGAGGTACCACCTGTGTCAGCGAAGATTCCTATTTGGCCCAGGTATGAACGATTCTTCATTCGGGATGAAAAAGTAGACTTTTGGTAGACTTTCATGCTGCGGTTCATAAATTTTTCCTGCCCAAGCGAAAAAGTTTAACAGAATTTCTAATATACGAAAATAATGTTGTGTTAAAATAGTGATTGTATATAAAATTACCATCTGCAACAAGCCCTTTTCTCATTACTAATTCGTTAAACAAGCAACTTCAAGTTCTTTTGTCTGAAGGATTGTGCCAGTTTTCAATTCCTTCTCATATGAAGCTGAGCACAAAGATAGGAACGTTCAACCTTGATTAAACATAAACTTCACAAACAGGAGACTGGAAAGTGTTCTGGTTTTATTTTCACGATCTCGTCTTGCTCAAAATGCAGGTCTCTTGGAGATTCCACCGATTTGAAAGGATTGGTTCTGTGGAACTGAAAACTTGAGAGCAAATGGACCTCCCCAGTAGACATTAAAAAAAATCAGGCTTCCCATTTCTTGAATCTTTTCTCAATATCGGATACTTTCAAACTATAGAACACATGCAGAAAACCATGACCTCACAGCTGAATTGGTTAGTAAGCATTTCTAGATTTTTTTCCCCTCATTCTAATTAGGATTTAAAAAATTTTTTGTAATCAACCTTTACTTCTAGTGATAAGCAAAGCAAACCTCATGAAATCCGAACCATGGATCTGCTTCTGTACTTGTATGACCCTGAGAGTGAGTGCCTTACTTGCCACACCTTCGTCCCAGCCCACTGATCTTGTCTTTATTTAAAATTTTGATATTTTATTTATCATGGATTTTTTTGCATTAATTTTAATTTCTTACAATAGTGAATTAAAATGTTGCTTATTCTGATTGCTGAGTTTTTGCCTCCCCCTTAAATTTTGCACCCAAGGCAAGTACCTCACTTGCCTCACGCTAATCCTTGTCCAGATTTTTATATATATTTTTTGTATCATTCAAATTTCTCAATGAGCTTATGTAATTTTTACAATGAAAAAAATAGCAATGATGTTTTCATTTGAGGGAAAAATGGTATTCAGGAGTTTATATAAAAGGGTGTGCTCACAACAGGAACAATGGGACAAAACATCCTATCTCAGGCTGCCCGTTTAAATATTTTCGTTTTAATTAATTAATTTATTTTTGGCTGTGTTGGGTCTTCGTTGCTGCACGCGGGCTTTCTCTAATTGCAGTGAGTGGGGGCTACTCTTCGTTTCGGTGCGCGGGCTTCTCGTTGCGGTGGCTTCTCTTGTTGTGGGGCATGGGCTCTAGGTGAGCGGGCTTAAGTAGTTGTGGCACATGGGCTCAGTAGTTGTGGGTCCGGGGCTCCAGAGCACAGGCTCAGTAGTTGTGGCACACGGGCTTAATTGCTCCGCGGCATGTGGGATCTTCCTGGACCAGGGCTTGAACCCGTGTCCCCTGCATTGGCAGGCGGATTCTTAACCACTGTGCCACCAGGGAAGTCCTGCCCATTTAAATATTGACATAAGCCTCCGTAATCTCAACGAGTCACATTTAAGACCCAAATGTCCCAGCAGCACTGTAGCAGATGACCAGGAATGCAGACTTTGGAGTGGACACATCTGATTTTGAATCTTGATTTGGTACTTACAGATATGTAAGCAAGTTCATTTAACATTCAAAATATATTTCTGCCTACTGTGTGTCAGGCACGGTTCTGGGTGCTGGAGAGAGGGCAATTTTTTTTTAAAAGAACAACAACAAAAAAAGACAAAAACCATTGTTTTCATGGAGCCTACATTTTAATCCCTTAGCATCTCTGAGCCTCAGTTTCCTTCCATAAAATGGGAATAACAGTTCCACCTCTTAAGGCTTTCATGAGGATTCAATGAGGTTGTACATAAACAACCAAGCAGGATGCCTAGAATACGGGATGAATTCAGTAAATGGGAGCTACCAGGTGCTAATCATTACTTATTAGCCTGTGATTTTACTTCTAGTGACTATAAACACAAAGATGAACAGGAGAAAAAAAAATATGTTAAAGCGTATAAAAGAGAAAATATTAATAAAAACCTACAACATTGATACTATACTTTTCCAGATTACTGAAGTTTTTTCACAGGCATTAGGTTCATTCTGACAGGTAGAAAAGCAAGCTTGGTGAAAAATTGATAACAATCTGTTGGGTTGATGTATTTGGAATTTGGATGGCTAATACTAAAGATTTGCAGGAGATTTTCTTAAATTTATGCTCAGCACTCATCCCCACCCTTAAGATTCTGCTCACCTCTTTCTTGTCACATTTCCCCCTCTTCAATCCTTATATTTAAATTCACTCCCTTCCTCATCCCTACTCTCATTCCCTTTATCCTCAAAGTCTATCTGCAATAAACACCTTTATCCATAGGTTCTGGCACTTTTTCACTCATAGAAAAACTGGAAGTTCTCATTCCTCTAAGCCAACTGCTAATAGCAGATGCCTGCTCTTACTTCATCTCTTGGGTAAGTCATAGCACACGTAAAGAGAATCAGTGGTCTCTAGAAGTTGTTATACTTCTATATTTCCATATGTATTAATCCCCCTATTGATTAATGAAGGGCTGGTGATGACCATAAAGGAGAAGAAGAGAACCAGCTATGCTTAGGAAGGGATTATAAGGTTCCCGAACTAAACCAATATGGTGTACCAACCAGGAAAAATAAGTAGAAGCTGGTGAATGTCTTTGTTGTGCAAAATAAAAATAGCAGAATGACTAAACAAAGGCTCTGTACCCAAATGAGAGGGAAACTGTTGTTGGATTGCAAAGCAAATGCGTGCAAATTCACGTCTAAAATACATGTACAAATCCAACTTCTGATGGATGAAAAAGATAAAGAGCTCAGAAAACCAGGGATTGAAAATGGTGGTGTGTGATTGCAAGCCATCAGTTTTACAGGCTTGTGATTAAGAGAATGAGAGTCCATTATCCTCCTTCATCCTCACCCCTCAATTTCCCCATCTTTCAAAAGAGATGGTAAGAATAGCACCTACCTTGTGGGATTGTTAGGGGAGTTAGTTAGCATATGTCCCGCCCTTTGGACAGCATCAGGAGCACAGTAAGTGTTATGTAAGTGTAAGCTCATGGAGAAGGCGCTCTAAGGAGGGAAGATACTTGGTGTGTTTGAGAAACAGCAAAGAAACTAGTGGAGCTTAAGCACAGTGAACGGAGGGGAGTGACAGCCAAGGTCAAAGAGACAACAAGGGCCCTGTAGGTCATTTACTCAGTGGAATAAAGATCATTAAATGAATCACTCTGACTGCTGAGCTGAGAAGAGACTATAGAAGAGGTTGAGGGTCAAGTCGGGAGACCTGTTGGGAGGTTACAGCCATTGAGAGGCAAGAGCTTATGGGGTCTCGGGATAGTAGTGGAAGTGGTGAGAGGCGCTCAAATTCTAGATATATCTGGAAAGTAGAGACTACATGACTGGCTGATGGTTTGGATGTGGGGTATGAGATAAAGAGCCCAGGAAATAAAGAATGGAGGTGCCATCAACAGAGACAGAGAAGGCTGTCTCTGGGGAAAGGGGTGGGTGGGAAGAGCAAAGTTTCAGTTTAGAACATGGTAAGTTTGAGATATCTATCAATATTAAGACATCTAAGGGGATGTGGGTATAAAATATACTGTTCGAAAAAAAATACTGTTCTTCCAAGTGAACACCATGCTGGTTGGTTTAATTCTCGCATTATTCTAACATTATGCAATCACACGTGGTCACCACATTATATAAAAGACTGAGTCAGGTCCTTTGATGTGTGTCATCGTGGGGGCAGCACGAATGGCACTGTGGAAAGACCCTGGCCTTTGGGAACAGGCAGGTTTGAATCCTGCCTCTGACTCCACCCAGCTCTTTCTCTTAGGCCTACCCAAGTAAACTCAGCGCACCTTGGCTGCTGCTTCTATCAAGTATGGATACTCATACCTTTCTTACAGCCTTGTTGCAATTTCCAAGCACAGATAATGTATGGGAAGTGCCTACTGATGATAGACTGATAGGGAAATAATTGCTTATACTTTCTTCAGAGTAGATATCCAGATCTGCCCTCTTTCTGGTCCACTTTGTCTTGTGAATAACCACAGCACTTGAAAAGAATAGGAGAGGTAAGTGACAACTAGCTTTCCTAAGGAACCCTGAATTAAAGTTATTGAAACCCGGTCGTTTGAGAGGAATTGACCACCAATATCCATACAAATTTGGGGAATCTGACTCACCTTAGGGCTGATTCTTATTATTCCAATCTTTGTGGAAGTGGAGAAAGAGGAATTTTTTTTTTTTTTTTTTTTTTTTGCGGTACACGGGCCTCTCACTGCTGTGGCCTCTCCTGTTGCGGAGCACAGGCTCCGGACGCGCAGGCTCAGCGGCCATGGCTCACGGGCCTAGCCGCTCCGGGGCACGTGGGATCTTCCCAGACTGGGGCACGAACCCGTGTCCCCCGCATCGGCAGGCGGACTCTCAACCACTGCGCCACCAGGGAAGCCCTAGGAATGGGGTTTTATAATGTCCAAACCTAAAGTCCTAGACCAATTCTAAATGAATTCACAATAACAATATCTAGCACATGTTATCTGAAGCAGTTTGTGTTTGATTTTCTCGACAACTCTCTCTACAATTCAATGAAAATGGATTTGCAGATTCTCTTATTAGGAGAGAGAAAGCTCTGTTTGTCCCCCACGTGCAAATGAAGATTTAGACAGATTCTCTCAGACTCAATGCCTTTCAAGTTTTTCCCACCTCATTCCGGCCCAGTTGGACAGATACTAGGAGAAAGGGCTGTGAACTGTGTCCTGGGGTAGTGTGTGGAGACCAGCACTAGCAATTTTTTATTTACAGGAAAGCCGGGAACCACTAGGTCCTTGGCCTGCTCTGGGACCCGCCTCTTTTCATTAGGTCAGAAGCAGAGCGTGACAGTGAGGAAATTACCTTCAGCTTGACCTTTAAGGACCTGCTGGCGTCAAGCTAGCTATTTGGTATGGGCTTTTCTGTTGACATTTCTGACTGCACCTTTTGCAAACTGAAAATATTACTGGAGTTCAAGAGGAAGGAAGAGTAGGGGAAAGAAATCAGCCAATTTGAGTCCCATGATGTGAAAAGTACTTTGTGAACCAAAAAGTGCTACAGGGATGCTGGTTATTTCTGAGGAAAAATGTGTTATCCTCACCCCTCTATAATTATTTAACAATGACCGGAGGAGAGAAGTCCACTCTTAACCTTCGTGCTTCTGCAAACTTCTTGTCTGCAGGAGCTTTTTGGGGAATGCTGTCTATCTGGACTGTAATTGGATACACTCAGTTCACCCACAGATATAAACTCCCATGAAGAAAAAGTATGATTTCTTTTAGACTTACCAAGAGCTTGTAAGCTTTAAGAACATGGTATATTCTTTGAAGGACTGTTGGTTGAAATCAAATCTTTAACTTAATTGACCAGCAAGACAAATAGCAGGATTAAAATAAACTAACAGTAATAATAATACTTCTTTAGAGCTAGGCACTGGGCCGAGTGATTTACACTTCATCTTATTTAAAGCTCAAACAAGTCCATAAAGTAGAATCAATTATTCCCATGATATGGATGAGGAAAATGAGGCTTAGAGAAATTAAGTAAATTGCCCAAGGTCAAATAGCTCATAAGTTACAGAAGTGGGATTACGACAAGTTTACTGAACCCCACAGCCTTCTATGTGCCTATAATTTCACCCCGTGCTTAGTTTATACCTCTAATTGCAACATCTGCAAATATGCCTATAATTGCAAAATGTAGCAGATTCAAGTCTTTAGCAGAAATTTTATAAACAAAATGTTAATATTTCTCTATGAATTAGTGACTTTATGTGTTTCTATTTTCCACTGTTTCTATGGTTGTTCAAGAAATTCCGTTTGGATTTTATACTTCTTATAGTATTATTTCTCTGTATATATTATACCTTTCTTTTTAAAACTGTGAAAGACACACATCTGTTTCTGATTGTGTGTCTGAGCTGTGAGTAATCTATGAATTTTTTTCCCCTTTAGGGTCTCTTTTATTCACATTATCTAGTTAATTCTCCCCCCCCTCTTCTTTTTCTCTCTTTCCTACCTGTCTGATCTCTTTCATGGCCGTAATATGAAGCTTAAGTATATTCGTATTTATTGTGTTCATTTAAAGGCGTTTTTGCTTTCTGTTCTTCGTTTTTAAATGGCTTTATAGTGACAAAAAATGGACTTTTAGATTTTGTGGTAGGTTTGCTGGCCGCAGCTTTCTTTTATCGTATGTTATTTGCGTCCATAAAGTGTCTTCCTTTTGATTGTAAAGTTTTTGCTTTCCTATCTTTGAATGTCCTGCAAGGCCTAACAAAGAGCTTCTAATAAAAGTGTATAAACAAAATAAAATATTTGAGAAACTCAAAACCCAGTGCCTGCCAGTGTATTCACAGCAACTGGCAGGCAGGAAGAGATGTGGCTAAGAATTACAGACCATCTTCCTTAAACAAACTTAATTCGGTCTCCAATCTCGGTGAGGGCAGGCCCCACCGGATACAGTTGCGGTGGGCGACACTGAGCTGAAATCAATCTTACCTCGACGAGTTTGCATTCAGGAGCCGTTCCAACCTATCCTTCAGGAAGGCGGAAGGATAGGGGAAGATGGGCGAAGGCGCCAATCGATTTTTTAGTCTCGGCTCTATCCTCCCCTGCCCTGCTCCCCCTTCATCTCGGGGACCGTGTGGTAGTGGATCCGGGAGCGGAGCGGGCCAACCGCAAAGTGCGCGGCACCCGCGGTACTCGCGGTCGCGCGGACCCTGGAGCGACCCCCCCACCGACTCCCTCTCCTCCCCATCCCCGGGTTCCCTCTGCGGGCGGCCCCCCGAGTCCCAAGCTGCCGCGAGTTTCCGGTCAGAGGTTTCTCCCCACTCTGTCCCCTCCCGGGACTCTGTCTCAGGTTCCGGCCCCTGCCCCTACCCAGGTCCCCCTCCTCCCCCATTCTGCCCACTCCGGGCCCCCTCGCCCTCGGTGACTCCTTTCCGCCAGGTCACGTGATCGTCGCAGCCCGCCTTTCTCTCTCCCCTCTGCAGAGCCGCAGTTTCCTTACCTGTAAAGTAGGGACAGGACTCTCTACCACATTTACCCAGAGCATGACAAAGCGAACAGGAAAGAGAAGATTCCACTATAACGTTTATTACTAATCATCATTCTCGTTGCTGGTACTCTTATTCCCGGTTCGTAGTGGGGGGAGGCGCGCATCCCCGGCGGTCTGGACTGGCAGCTGCTACGAGCGCCCGCCCCCGCCCCGCCCCTCCGTGCTGGCCCCGGGCGGCGCCGCCTGCGGACCTGTCCCTTCTACCGCTGGCCGCCAGCGGCGGGAGCCGCACAGCCTCTGCTAGGCCTGCGGTGCGCAGCGACATGGCGGACGGCCACCGCCTCCTGCTGGAGAACGCGCGGCAAGTGGTGCTGGTGTGCGCCCGCGGCGAGCGCTTCCTGGCGTGCGACGCGCTGCGCAGCCTGGCGGTGCTGGAGGGCGCCAGCCTGGTGGTGGGCACGTAAGTGGCCGCGCGCTCTGGAGCTGCGGGCGCCCCGGGTCGTGTGCTGGGGGGCACCGGTAAGCCAAGGCCCAGCTTGGTGCTCTTTCTGTAACTTGTGGGCTGTGGAGGGGAACGCGGTTAACAGCCTTTTCGCACCCAGGGAGTCATTGGCACGCCTGCCTTTTAGGCGCCTGTTGCTAATGTATTTGGCCGCCTCCGGTTGTCATTCAGTTGAAGAAACCTCTCTCAAGCTGCACATCCCACTGGGGAGCGTCAAGATCCCGCTTCTGCTGATAAAATATAATTGCAGCAATCTGAAGGCGTAGGGGGTCTCTGCAATGCTTCTTGAAGTGCGGACGGGGGACCACCTGACTCAGACGGCCTGAGATTTTTTTTTTAAAGACAGACTTCTGATGCCGCCCCCCCATCCCCAGATCTTTTTTCTTTTTTTCAAGTTTTATTGAGATATAATTGGCATACAGCACTGTATAGATTTAAGGTGAACAGCACGATTTGACTTACATACATCGTGAAATGATTACCAGTAAGTATAGTGAACATCCATCCTCTCATATAGATACAAATTCAAAGAAGTAGAAAAAAATTTTTTCCTTGTGACCAGAACTCCTAGGACTTATTCTTTGAACAACTTTCATAAGTAACATACAGCAGTGTTTATTATATTTATCATGCTGTACATTACATCCCTAGTACTTATTTATCTTATAACTGGAAGTTTGTACATTTTGACTACCTTCATCCAATCCCCTCCACCCAGTCCCCACCTATCCCCAGGTCTTTTGAATCAGAATCTCTATGGGTGGAGTTACGAGATCTGAATTTTTACAAAGCACGTCTCCCACCCACTTCGTCTGCACCCCAAAGCTTGAGAACCACAGAAAACGTTCAGATGGCGATGGTTTGGGGTGATAGATAATTAAGATTCAGCCACCAGAAAGAGAGGACATTTTCAGTTATTTTCATTTACACTTCTGAGAATAAAAGAACAGCCAAAGTTTGGAAGGGTGGACTTGGAGTGGTAATGAGGGTTGGGTGCCCATCTGAATTGGAGAGCCCATGGCACTGCGATTACACAAGTCTCATCCCTTATCTGAATCTGCTTAGGGTTGTGTAAGAGCCCAGCTTTTAGGGACTCTGTGTGTGTTTGTTTTTAATTAACAAAGAAAAACATTCCCAGTGTTACTGTCAAAAACTTGTTAAAATGAGTTAACAGAATTGCATGGATATAGGAACCTAGGGCTAGTTGATGGCCGTACTCCACGGAGGATCCAGACCCGACCCCTACTGTCTTGCTCAGCTGAGCACTGCCCTCTTGCTCACAGGCACTCCAACATCCAGGATTGCTGTGCCATCTCTCATTATGGTGTCTACATTCCAGCCAGTAGGAAGTAGGCAGAGAAAACGATCCTATTGGCTAGAACTTAGTCACATGGCCACACCTGGCTGATGGGAGACACGGAAAGGTGGTCTTTATTCTGGGTGGTCATGCCTCCAGCTAAAATTTAGGAATCTAGCACTGTGGGAAAAGGGAACATTGATCTTGGGGAACAATTAGCAATCTCTGCTACACCTGATTTGACTTTTTGCCTTGCATGTGGCTAGAGTCAATTTCCAAAGACACACACTCAAGAAGGAAATACAATAAATATTGACTGACACCGAAAGGCATCAATAATGTGATCATTGGTCAAAATTTTCACAATATTTCCCCCAAAGTTAGTAATAATTTCTTGATTTGTTTTTCAGAGATGGGTTCATAAAAGCCATCGGTCCTGCTGATGCTATCCAAAAACAGTTTTCAGAAGAAACATTTCAAGAAAGAATTGACTGTTCCGGGAAATGCATCTTGCCAGGTATTAACCTCTTTTTCAGTAAAGCCCTGAAAGCAGTTTTAGTAGTGTAAAGAGGAAGAGTAGTAGCTTGTTTTAAACAAGGTTTCACAATAATATGAAAATATAATAGCTACCATTTATTGAATTTCTACTAGTAAATGTCTAGCTGCTTTACAAACACACTTTCATGTGGAATGAAACCGGACTGCCCTGGAAGGTAAGTATCATTATCTACTCATTGCAGGTTAGAACACTGATGTTTAGGGGTGAAATATCTTACCCAAGATCTCTAAACAGGTGAAGGGCAAGCTGGGAGTCACACCCATTCATTCACTCCACTTCTTCCCACTCACATGTTGAAGAGAACCAGCTGTGCTGGGCTTGGGTTCAAAAGCTGTTGGAAGAATTTTATTAATCCATGGCATAGGGGAGGCAAAGACAGCAAATTGCTCTCTGTAATTCCAGAATATACTCTAAATTTGTATAGAGTATGAAACAAAGGACCCATCTCCAGGCGAAAAAACATAAACCAAGAAACCCTAGAGATTTCATTGAAGTTCATTTGTATCTTCAGTGATTGATAACAGAATCAGTTTATTAACCATTATCTCCTACATTTTCTATGTTTTATGTAATCCTCTGAAACAAATTTCACAAATTTTGAGTTCTGCGCAAACACAGAGGCTAGGATTTATACTTGTGTGCTGTGCGCATCTGACAGAGCTTCTACTATCTGGCCCTTGGGGGTCAGGAGAGAAAGTCAGGGTGAAACCTCATGAGAAAGAGCAGAATATGGTAGAGAATATATGGTAGGGACTTTTGGTTTTACTCCGATTGGAACCACTAATGAGCCATTTAATCTATAAGGCACTTTGAATGTTCTGGAAGGACGGACTTTACCAAATTGTACTGGGATAAACAAAAGTTTCAAGTGACCATTTTATAGTTTCTCTTTAATTAAAATATTTTTCTTTCTTAAAGAAAGATTCATCTTTCTGATTTTATACTTTTCCTGCTCAAAGTTGAGGGTAGGGATAGTATTATTCTTTTTCACACCCAGATTCTTCCTTGGTCATATAGTCCTTGGTTTTGCTCAGCTAATAGATTTGACATCCTGTTTTAAAAGGTTGCTTGGTGAGCATGGATTTATTGGGCAAAAGGAGCTGTATTTCTTTAGGAGATATTTTCACCATGTTGAGTCACCCTCCTCCATTAGAGCCTTCTAGACCAACCATGCAGGGAGTCTTCTTGGAACCATGCAAATTCTCCCTTCTCCACCTTCCTCCAAGATGGCTGACCACCATCCTGCTTTCCTAAGAACTGTATAGTAGAGTCTGCCTGCTGTCTAAGTGCTTTCTGTTTCTTAACTTTAAACGTGATTTGATTTATTGATTACAGGTTTAGTGGATGCACACACACATCCAGTATGGGCTGGTGAAAGAGTTCATGAGTTTGCGATGAAGGTAACTGCAATAAACAATAGCAAATCAAAATAAAGCACAAATATAGACGTGGTTTTCTAGAGTTTGTAGGCTGTTAGGCTTTACAACAAATGTTTACATGTCTTTTTAACTGATATTTTTACTGGCTTGGACTATGGAAATCAATTACAACAAAATTAACCAATTTATAACTTGGTGCCAAACCTTTATACTGTGCCCAGGGCTGTCAGTCATTTCAAGTATAATAGTTTTCAAGCTGTTTTAGCTGCCGAATCCTCCTTTTAAAATAGAGCTGACCTGCTTTGCTCACTAATTTCTCCTCTCTTTTCTTTTCCTCATTCCATCCCTTGGTAGCCTTTGAAGGGACTCCAGGAAACAGTTTGAAAATCACCATTCATTGGGGTCAAACTTGGAAAAACATATTATTATTAATCACAAAAATAAAATGTCTTATATTGTTCCCACTTTTTTTCCAGAAAAATGAAACTTATTAAGAAACATAAATTGTAGTCTTTGTCAGTCATTAATTAGCTGCAGTCAACCCTCAAATCCCTGGTTTGAGCCATTTTCACATTGTTTATTTCCTTGTTTTTAGTAGACTTTATTTTTTAGAGTAGTTTTAGGTTCACAGAACAATTGAATGAAAGGTACAGAGATTTCCCATATACCACTGCTCCCTGCCCCCTGCCCAAAGCACAGCCTTTTCCATTTTCAACATCCCTGACCAGAGTGGTACATTTGTTACCATGGATGAACCTACATTGACACATCATCATCACCCAGAGTTCATAGCTTTCATGACTGTTGACTCTTGTTGTGCATCCTTTAGGTTTGGGCAAATGTGTAATGACATGCCCCCACCATTGTAGTATCATACAGAGTAATTTTACTGCCCCCAAAATCTTCTCTGCTCTGCCTCTTCATCCCTGTCTCCCCCGAGTCCCTGGCAACCACTGATCTTTCTACTGTCTCCATAGTTTTGCCTTTTCCAGAATGTCATAGACTTGGAATCCTACAGTACGTAGCCTTTTCAGGTTGTTCCCTCCGTGTCTTTTCTTCACACTGTTTTTTAAAAACCTGTGCAGCCTAACAGCTAAATTGGATTATTTCAGAAAAAGAAAAAATTTCTTCAAAAATTGTCTACCTTTCTCAACAATCTAGAACTGTTTTTAAGACTTTCGTAAATCATTGAATTTCAGAGCCGAAAATCAACCTTAGAGATTTACGGTCCAATTCTCTCATTCGATGATGCAGAAAGTGATGCAAAAAGGGCCAAACCCATCAGGTGTTGGTTTTTCTTTTTAACACGAAATGAACGAAGATCATTTATTATAAAACCATTGAAACTTTCCTTAAAAGCTCGAGTTTGCAATAACTTGAACGTGACAGAATTAAGAACAGAAGGGAAGGGTGTGACTAAGGGAGCCCCGCAGGCGGGGACACTTTGTTTGCACCACACTCCCTGCTGCCCAGAGTAACAGGGGTCCAGTGGGATCCCAGAAAGAGCCTCTTTATTTGCTTGAGTGACAGAGGTCAGGCCCGAAACTCTAGGTGGCCAAATACTGAGGGGTGGAAATGCTCTGGGTCTCTTAGTGGGGACTTGAATAAACCACAGTGAGGTCCCTAATCGCCTAAGCTTTGCTTTCTCATAGGTACCGAGACTAGCTGGTACACACCGAGACTGACTGGCTTGTTAAAATACCGAAATACTTTTGTACCTGTTGGTAAACTGTCGCTAGCCTGAGGCCCCAAGTCCTCCCCACATCTCCCATTTCTGCCATCCCAGTCCCTTCCTGAAACACCTCTGACCCCTGCAACTCCCCACCACCCTGGCAGAGTAGGGACTTCCAGAAGGATGGTGCCCCACCATCCTTCCTGATCGGTTGGTGCCTGTGCCATATCCATTGTCAGTCATGTCGAATGTCACCCCTGTACGTAGGTTCTGTAGAGCTGCCTGCAACCTCCCTGCATTTTGCAGGCCTAAGGGTGAACCGTGTGTTCAGTTGGCAGGAGCCACATACATGGATATCCACCAGGCTGGAGGAGGGATCAACTTCACGGTGGAGCGCACGCGCCAGGCCTCGGAGGAGGAGCTGTTCAGTTCCTTCCAGCAGCGGCTTGGGTGCATGATGAGGGCGGGGACAACGCTGGTGGAGTGCAAGAGCGGATACGGCCTCAGCCTGGAGACGGAGCTCAAGATGCTACGCGTGATTGAGCGCGCCCGGCGGGAGCTGGACATCAGCATCTCAGCCACTTACTGCGGGGCTCACTCGGTGCCAAAGTAACCTCAGCCGAAGGGACCGGGGTTTAACTCAGGGTACTGAGAACGCAGAAGGGCTCATGTGGTGCCTAAGTAGGGCTGCGTTCTCCAGGGAGTGAAGGTGCACCAGCACATTAGCTCTTGCAGAGGGACGAGTAGAACCTTTGGAAAGGTGTTCTGATTCCAACCTTCAGGCGTCTCACACACATGGGTTTAGGAAGGCGGGCCCCACCAGACCCATTCGTTTGCAAGTCCCTTAATAGTGAAGGAAGAGGAGGTGTTCAAAACTCTTGGTTAACAAAAAGAAATTCCCCTGATAGGTCCTTTAAAATGACAGATATTAATTTAAATAGTTTCCCATGACAGTGAGCCCAAAGGCACTTCAGGAATTGAGTAACACCCCGTGGGAGGTAGATCAAATCTTGACGTCAAGATGACATAGGGAGGTTTTTATTTTTGTTCATCTGTTTGCTTGTTTAGCAGCAAACATTTTTGTTTTAATGCTGTAAATGTTTTTTTCAGCTTTCCTCTTTACCTAGAAAGTTCCTCCTGTATGGATTTGCTGTAGAGAATTCTCTCCCCTTCTGCGTCTACATCTCATCCATCCCGGAATTACTAGATCAGAAGGCCTGCAGTCCTAGAACCAAACGATCCAAAAGAAATCCAGGACTTGAAAATTCGCAGACGTCTCCAAAGTCTTAGTGCAGTTTTAAGTGGTGATAACTAACTTAGATAATAAATGCTGCAGGCTTACAAAAATGGTTTAATCACATAAATAGCCCATTTCATTAAGTCATATTCATAAGTTAATTAAATCTTTTAAGGTTAATCATTAAAAAATGTGTACATTTCTTTAGTTCTGTGAACTTTGACAAAGAAAATTTTAATGTTAATATTTCATTTACCATCTTTAATCAAACGAACTAAAAAAATTAACATTGAAATTATTATGAAAAATTTACAGAACTAAGTAGAAAAGAAATATAAATACTTAATATTTCCAATGATGTCTGTTGTATGTTTTTAGCATTTATACTTCTGAAATTATTATGGCTTGAAACTGCACTAAGACTTTTGGGATATCCTGTCTATTATAGTCTGGTTTTTTTTTGTTTTTTTTTTTAGTAGGAAAGACAATGTGACATGGCAGAAAAGTCTCAGGCTTTGGAGGGACACCAGACCTGGGTTTGAGTCTAGCTTAGCTACTTCCAGCTGGGTGATTTTGAGTTAAGTTTTGATCATTTAACTTTTCTGAACATGAATTGCTTATCTGTAAACCAGCTAAATAACACGCTTATCCTGTATGGTTGTCTCGAGAATTAGAAACAGCATATATAAGTATGTGTCTCCTCAGAGCCCACCTCTATCTACCCACCCAGATGGTTTTTGCTGAGAGCCTTCTGTGTGCCAAACACAAGGCTAAAGTTTTACAGAAAATTTCTCCATCTGCCAGTGAGCCTCTGAGGTCTGATCTTGATCCCTGAAGATAAAGCCTGAGGCCCAGAGGATGCCAAATGACGTCTACATCATGTGTCCAAAGTTATACGGCTAGCAAGTGGCGCAGCTCTGTGTCTGACTTCAAAAGCCCAGACCTTTCTCATATATAACTACCCCAGAATCTTAGAAAGAATTTCAGGGCCTCCTACTGTCTTCTTCCCCTATGTCTGATGAGACAGAAAGCCTTAGGCAGATGCTCCTAGAAACAGTGTGGAGGAAGAAAAAGTCAGGGAAACAGCTTGGCCCAGGTAAGGGGCTCACGGTTGGGTTGTCAGGGAAGCATCCAGGATGTCCTCTACGTGTCCCAAAGGCAACCCAGATGTGCCAGAATGGATGAACCATCTGAGTCTCTGCCTATAGGGTCAGTGTATACAGAAGTCTTATCAATACCTCTGCTATGTAGGCTCATCCCGATTGCTAAGAGTCCTGAGTTATAGCTTTGATCTTCTCTTTACCTTTCTGGGGCTTGGGGTCATTTACCTACAATTTCTCAGGTTCTCCAAGTGCCAAAAAAACCCTTTCTCCAATTAAAAAAAAACTTGCCCACGGTAATCTCACTTTCTTCTTCCCTCAGAGGAAAAACTGCTACTGAAGCCGCTGATGACATCATCAATAACCACCTCCCAAAGCTGAAGGAACTTGGCAGAAATGGGGAAATACACGTTGACAATATAGATGTGTTCTGTGAGAAGGGCGTCTTTGATCTCAATTCCACCAGAAGGATTCTTCAAAGTGGGAAAGATATAGGGTTACAGATTAACTTCCATGGGGATGAACTCCACCCAATGAAGGCTGCTGAGGTATGGGTGACCTTTTGCTTTTCCTTTGTCGACACTCGTGCTGTGGAAAACTTAATGAGTTTGTTCAAAGGAAGGAGTAACCCTCTGAAAAGATAGAGAACGGGGAAATTTGTTTGAAATATGTGCAGGTTGGTGTGGTTGAGCCTTGGAATCCCAGACTTTTTTGCTGATCATTTACTTTTATTATTTCCTCCTGGTGATACTAGTAGAAAAAAGAAGTACCTTTGTGATCTCATTCACTAAATTCACAACCTATTTTGATTGGCACGCAAAGCCACCCTAGCTCAGTCTGTTAATTTCACAGGTAGCTTCTAGGGCCTTTCTGTGGCAGCATCCAGAGGGCTTTTAGTGGAGCATACCATTAATAGCCACAGGATGATTTTCACATCTATGTGTCTTTTCCAGATTAATTTATTCATGCTTTCTACAAATAGTTGAGTATCTGCTGTGTGCCGGGCATTGTTCTAGGCACTGAGAATTCAGCAGTAAGACGCACCAAATCCCTGCAGTTGGGGGTCTAGCTCTTTCCTCTAAGCCCTGGAGCTACATAAACAACTGCCCTTGGGGCATAAATACAGATGTAGATAGTCTACATGTGTCTCGACCACCACGCGTTCAATATGATCTCTTAATATCACGTCCAAATCTTGTCCCGTGTTTCCTGCCCCAGTGAATGACGTCATTATCCATCTGTTGCCTAAGTCGAGACCCTGGATATCATTTTGACTCCTCCCTCCCCCTCACCTACTGCATTTCAGCCAACCAGCAAGTCCTCCCAATTCTCCTCCTAAATATCTCTGGATCCACTTCACCACACTGCCCACTTCAGATCACCGAGCTTGTGCTCGTGAGAGGTAGTTGGCAAGAAATCTTAATAATAGAGTGCTGTCTATTTTTGCAGGAAAAACCATTTGCTGGCACGTTATTGATTTGTTGTTGCTGTTGGTGAAACTTCTGTCTCTCTGCCCATTCTGTTTAGCTCGGGGTGGAACTGGGAGCCCAGGCAATCAGTCACCTGGAAGAAGTGAGTGATGAAGGCATTGCTGCCATGGCAGCGGCCAGGTGCTCTGCTGTCCTCCTGCCCACTACGGCCTACATGCTGAGGTGAGGTTGTTTCTCCCCCCAGCATGAGAGCTGCAAGTATAAGCTGTGGACACACAGACTTCCAAGATGCCCAAATACTCATCACCCTTACAAATCCCTTAAAAATGCAGATCAGGGGCTTCCCTGGTGGCGCAGTGGTTGCGAGTCTGCTGCCGATGCAGGGGACATGGGTTCGTGCCCCGGTCCGGGAAGATCCCACATGCTGCAGAGTGGCTGGACCCGTGAGCCATGGCCGCTAAGCCTGCACGTCCGGAGCCTGTGCTCCGCAGCGGGAGAGGCCACAACAGTGAGAGGCCCGCGTACCGCCAAAAAAAAAAAAAAAAATGCAGATCAGGAAAACTTAACTCATGGAAGATGCTAATACTGGTATGATATTTGTAATGAATTACCCCGAGGAAGGAGCTTAGACCCAAATTGCATTTGAGTGGTGGGATTACTGGGGAGAGTGGCGCTTTCTTTTTTTTTCTTCCTCATTTTTGGAATTTTCCAATTAAAAATCAATATGCATTACTTTTATAATTAGAAAATAGTGATATAGGCTTTATACTTTAAAAAAACATGCATAAGATATTAGGGATATTTCACAGTATTCTGAATCTGAATGAGCTGCTTTCTAAGAGGATACAAGTGGGGACCATAATCCTCATAAATCCTGGGAGTGGGAGGAAAGAGGAGATGTCTAAGTATATTTTGTGGCACCTCCCCGGGGATTTGGCTGTGTGCCCTCAATGGATTGAGTCCATGTAGTCCATCTTTTATCATGGCCATTGCTCCAGTTCAAATATGAGACCTGAGGTCTCCTGACTCATTGAACCACTTCCATGACAGCCACCGAATTTGTGGTCAGAAGGTCCAGCATTCAAGAGGCAGTTGATTTCCTCTTAGGACTGGGTGCTTTCTCTGCGGTTGTGGTACATGTTTTTTTTGTGGGGAGGGGCGTGATTCCGCAGTTATGGCCTTAGGACAGTGGTTCTCAAACTTGGAGTGATTTTGCTCCTCAGGGGATATTTGACAGTATCTGGAGACATTTTTGGTTGTCACAACTAGGGGGTGTCACTGGCATCTAGTGGGTAGAGGCCAGAGATGTTGCTAAACATCCTACAGTGCACGGAAAAACCTTCTACAACAAAGAATCATCCAGTCCAAGACATTAATTGTGCTGTGATTCAGAAACTCTGCCTGAGGGATTGGAAAAACAGGTTCAAGTAACTTTTTTTTTTTTTTTTTTTTTTTAATGGTGCGCGGGCCTCTCACTGTTGTGGCCTCTTCCGTTGCGGAGCAGAGGCTCCGGACGCGCAGGCTCAGCGGCCATGGCTCACGGGTCCAGCCGCTCCGCGGCATGTGGGATCTTCCCAGACCAGAGCATGAACCTGTGTCCCCTGCATCGGCAGGCGGACTCTCAACCACTGCGCCACCAGGGAAGCCCATCAAGTAACTTTTATAAGGGAGAAGAAAGGAATATTGCAGTGCTTTTTTCAAATTTATTATGATTTTATACACACACATATATATAAAATATTATACATTTCTCTTATTACTATTCTCTTAAAGAGTGGACATAATGTAGGTTACCGTCAGGAAATCTCCATCAATAACTATTCTCAGTATGACCAGCTGCTTTCCTTGCAAATCTCAGTAGTCATCGGAGCCGTCAATCAAGACTTAATCTGGTTAATTTTCCACCACCCAAGGAATAAGTTTTTACAAAAGAAAAGGATTCCTTTAACTCACCTTGAATCTCTTAAGACAGAGCAAAAATCTGAGACCTGCGGTGCTGGAGGGCAGTTCAGCATTAAAAGTCTGCACTTTGTCCCTATGCCAGTGGCAGCTGCCACGTGCCATCACCACAAGATGGGTTTAACACCCTGTTTGGATGACAGGGGCAACCAAAGGGAAAGCCACGCTCTTCTCTGGCTTCTCTGTTTCTGTATTTCTCTGATCTCTCCACCAGGAGGAACCTGCAGGTTTCCCCGCTGCGCCCTGAACTCTCTGGACTCTCATTTCCGGAATAACCATTGCCTTATGCCACTCAAGGGCTTCTTTTAATCATTATTTTATGCATCTTTATATATAATATTTAAATTTATTCAGGACACATTCACCTTAGCTTATCTGGAGCCCCCTTTATAATTGTACTGCCTTGTACATACATATATTTTTCCTCCTTAAGTAGTTCGGGAAAGGGAGGGGAGGCCGTCAGAGTGACCGGCAAGGAAATTTTAACGTCTACCCTTTCCTCACTCTGTATCTCTGCTTCACTCACCTCTCTCACGCATTGTCCTAGCAGAGAAACACTATTTTAAGTGGTCCTGGAAACTGCCTGTCGTAGACTGGGAATGCTTCAAGGGCAAGTGTCACCTTAGTACCCCCAATCCTTGATTAATTTCTGTATTCAACACGCGTGTTGGGGGCCCATTACTTGTCAGGCACTGTTCTAGGCACTGTGAATCCAGCCACAAGTAAAACAGAGTCTTGTCCTCAAGGAGCTTACATTCTAATGGGGGAGAGACAATGTGCAAACCGACCAACGAACATAGAAAATGTCAGGTGATGCTTGGTGCTGTGAAAACAATCCAGGTGAGGCGAGAGGATAGAGAGTGTTTGAGGGGAGGGTGCTGTGTTTTTAGGATGGTCAGGGAAGGCTTTTGGAGGAGGGGACATTTGGGCAGAGACCTCCAGGAAGTGAGGGAGCAAGCCATATCTGGGGGAAGGAGCCGGGATAACTAGAAGAGTGTTCTGAGTGGATGGATGGTGAGTGCAGCGGTAGAAACGCACTGAGAGTATTTGAAGAACGGCAAGAGTGAGGCCAGAGAGGCACAAGCCAGGCAGGGAGAGATAGGAGACGAGGCCAGAAAGAGGGGCAGCTCTTGAAGGGCTGAGTTCATGGTGCAGACAGCAAGCCCACGGGAAGCCACTGAGAGTGGTTCAAAGCACGGCGACATGATCTAACTTATTTTTCTAAAAATCCCTCTGGCTGCTAGGAAGAGAATATATTTTAAGGGCTTGAGGGTAGAAGCAGGAAAGCCAGTTAGGATGGTCTTAACAAATATCCTAGCAAGCAGTGATGGTGACTTGGATCCAAGGTGGTAGCAGAGGGATATAAAAATGAGTTGGATTCTGGATGTAGTTTTAAGGGGGAGCCAACAAGATTTTCTGATGGGTTGGATGTGGACTGTGAGAAATGACTCAAGGATGACTCTGAGGCTTTAGTACCTGGCACAGAGTTTTCACTAATGGGATGGTTTTAGAATGACTGGCTGAGTTAATGACCAGGCAAGTTTTATTGGTCTCCATGTGTTAGATACCATATGCTTTTCATTGAAGCTGCCAAGAAGTCCCTGTATTTTGGGGAGAAAATAAAACTGAGGTGCAATGAAAACACAATAATAAAAAATTAAAGAATTCCTTTAACAAAAGATAATCAATCAGCTATTAATACCAGGCACTGTACTGGTACTAGAGACACAACGGTGAATAAGACACACATGGTCCTTCACGGAATTTGCAGTCTAAGCGTATGAAACATGATCAATGAATAGACAGTAATACCTATAGAGGTAATGAAAAGGATAATCACTTCTGGCTGAGTGACCAGGGAAAGTGAGCATGGGTGGGTGAGAGGTGAGCTGGGCCTGGGAATATGAATGCATTTCAGGGAGGGGTGGATATTCTAGGCAAGGAGGACGGCAGACTCAGAAATGTACACATAGAAAACCCCAGTGGTTCGAGTGCAGTATTGGGTAGGACAGGGATGAGAAAGGAGGCCCTGAAAGAAGTGTGGGCTCAGTTTGTGGTGAGCCTCGAATGCCAAACTTAGGTGGACTTTGTATAAAACATAAATAGAACCTATTCTGAGCACAGAATTATTATTAATTATTAATAATTGATATATTAATTATTAATAATAAAGTTATTCTATTCTTTGCCATATTTAGTACACTCCTAGAATATAACAGTATCATTCATTCATTCAATCAAAAATATTCATTAGCCAGAGACAGGACTGGGTGCTGGGACAAATTATAAGAAAAAGAAATAATCCTTTCAGTGATCCTTAGCCCCTGCTGGACTTGCCAGCAGAGGGGCAGGTGTAATAGTCTCAATACTTTACAACCAACCGATCAATCAAATTGAACTTAAGGCTAGAGTAGGGTCTCAAAGGAGGGGTCAGGGTTACCCTCAGCAGCTTTATTTAAAGACAGCTCCTGGGCAGTACAGGTTCATAATGGGTGAGTACCAGCCCACTATCATTGTCATGAAACAATAGCTATTGTTTCTAAAATGGAGGCGTGTGGGGTGCTGGGGAAGCCAGAGGAAATGAGGGCCAACAAGGTGACTGGGAAGGCTTTCCAGCGGAGGTCTCTCCTTGACCAAACTTCATTCAGGCTCCTCTGAGCCCCTCTCTCCACTAAACCTCAATCTTGCCTATAAACCTACAGGCTCTTAGCACAAATGATTTTATTCACCCACCCTCCCCAACATTATGAGACTTGAACAAACACTGGCATAGTTTCTAACAGCTCCAGGATGCCTCCCTAGAATGAGCCCAGGCCCCCTTAGAATACCTGTCTGAGAAAGCCCAACCTGCCAGGAAAATTAACTGTTTTTTCCAGTAAAACCTGGTGATAGGCAGATAGGCCTCTGAACTTCCTCTTAGAGCAGTTACTTTAAAAAGCTTGCAAGGGCTTCCCTGGTGGCGCAGTGGTTGAGAGTCCGCCTACCGTTGCAGGGGACACGGTTCATGCCCCGGTCCGGGAAGATCCCACATGCCGCGGAGCGGCTGGGCCCGTGAGCCATGGCCGCTGAGCCTGCGCGTCCGGAGCCTGTGCTCCGCAGCGGGAGAGGCCACAACAGTGAGAGGCCCGTGTACCGCAAAAAATAAAAAAAAAAAAAAAAAAAGCTTGCAAGGACGTCAGGGAGATACCCAATCCAGGAAGAAGCACAAATATGTTACATATTAGTTTCTTGGGCCTTCAAAAATTTAAAGGACCTATAATAATGTTTGAGACCCCCTCTCCCTCCCAAAAAAAGGAGAGGGAGAGATATGAACAAAAAATTGTAAAATATTAATTTAAAAAGCATTATTTAAACCTCATTGTTTATATTTGGGAGTCAAAAAAAGTTTATTACATTTGAAAACAATTTTAAGTTTTCTTCCTTTGCAAGAATCTCTGAATATATATAAAGATTGTCATGATAATCCCAAATTTAAAAGGTTAGCCATAGCCAAGTGATTTCAAAAGCAGGCTGATAAAAATCAGGAGTCCTGGGGTTCTGCTGGACGCCACCACTAATCACTTAAGCTTGAGTTTTCTGTTTCTTCTTCCAGAACACGAAGGGGTTGGATATCTTTAAGTCTGCTTCAACTCTGAACATCTGTTCTTCAAAAGTTCCACTTCTAGAGACTGACATCCTTTTTTTCCCTCTCCTTAGACTGAAGCAACCTCGAGCCAGGAAAATGTTAGATGAAGGGGTAATAGTTGCTCTGGGCAGCGATTTCAACCCTAATGCGTATTGTTTTTCAATGGTAATTATTTTTAATGTGCCTTTCATAGTCTATGAAACTTCTACCAAGCATATAAATAATTTAAAAATATTTCACTAACTGTTAAAATGTTTCAAAGATCTGAAAAGATTTTCCTGTGAAACAAGGAAAGAGCGTGGACAGCAGTGTAATTGGATATTTCTGTGCCACTTGAATGCCTCCAGGCTGAGAGAGAAGAGAGAAGGTTCTATTGATACTATGCCTTGGCGCAGCCTCTGGGCATTGTGGTTTTACAGTAAAACCTATTTCCCCTCTCAGAATTGCGTAAGCTCAAGGAAGGTTAGTAAGTTTTAGTAAGTAAATATGGAGGTGAGCTTCATCTTACATAGTAAGTGGCCTTGAAAAGTAATAAATAAATATTAAATACATATAGGGGGTGGGTGGGTAAGTAATCTCTATCATAAACGAATCTTTCCCAAAGCATAAGGATCTTTACGAGTAAATGTAAATTTAACTTTTCTCATACTAATTTAGCCAGCTCCACTTATACATTTAACTATCATTATTTGTTGTGCGGTGTTGAGAAATGTCCTAGGTGGCAGCTGCCGTTTTGTTGCTTTTCTCCAATGCTTTTCTTTTCCCGTCTTAGCCGATGGTCATGCACCTGGCCTGTGTGAACATGAGAATGTCCATGCCCGAGGCCTTGGCCGCTGCCACCATCAATGCCGCTTATGCCCTGGGAAAATCTCACACTCATGGATCTTTGGAAGTAGGCAAACGGGGAGATCTCATTATCATCAATTCATCCAGGTGAGTGTTCTCCCAGCCGAGCCATTTTATTGTATGCCCACTGTAATATGGAGACTTGGTTTAAATCCCTTTTCCACGGATTATTAGTGTCAGGCTCTGTATAAGCTCAGCAGCTACCCAGTCTTCTTAGTGTCACCCCTTTCTAAGCAAAAACTCTCCCTCCAGGTCCTAAACTGCAGGGTAGACCAACTTTTCTGGTCTCTTCATCCATCTTATATCTTTCATGGATCTCCAGGTTTCTGTTCTGTTTACCTGGACTTTGGACTTGTGCCCTCTGGCCTGTGTTTGTTTTTCTTCTTGGGTTCTGACCTTTTCTGCTTGTGTTGGGCCACGCAGGTCCCAGCTCTGGCTTGTCATCCTGGTTCTGATTCATTACCTCTCTGACTTCTCATTCCTGCTGGATCCCAAAAGCCTTGCTTCGATTTTCCTGCCTCGTGTTTTGTATTACTCGCTCACAGCCTGCTGCCTCCTGGGCCTCCAGTGTAACAAGCTGAGCTTTATTGTTCTAAATCTTAAAGTTGTGAATCCTATGGTGTCTGGACCCTAGCAAGCCTCTGCCAGGCCTTGGACCTCATGTTCAACAGAAGAGAGTGGCTCCATCATAATTCTACTCTCAAGGGTCATAAGCCATTGTCTCTATCGAGAGTGACGCTGGTGTTACCACTCATGCATCATTTAACTGAAGCAAATTTTTTTTTTTTTTACTGTTCCAATAACACTTTATTTATGGACATTGAAATTTGAATTTTATATAATTTTTATGTCACAGAATATTATTGTCTTTGTTTTCCATTTTAAGTCCTAATTTAGAAAACCCCAAACAAGACTATCTTAGCTCAAGAGCAATAAAAAGTAAGCAGCAGGCCAGATTTGGCCCACAGACCACAGTTTGCCAACTGCTAGTCCAGAACAGTGGTTCTCAAAGTGCAGTCCCAGCAGCAAGGGCATCCTCTGAGAATTTGTTGGAAATGCAACTTCTCAGGCCTCTTGGACAGTCTACCAAACCAGAAACTCCAGGAGTGGGCCTAGCATCTCTGTCTTAAAAAGTCTTCTAGGTGAAAAAGATACATGCTGAAGTTTGAGAAGCACTGATCTAGAGTCATTGTTCTAATGTGAATCAAATATTTTAAGATCAAACACTTAATATCATTAAACAATATTGGATTTATCATAGACTAATTATCATAGTACTCTACCATTTTTTAAAAAGCCCAAATATTAACTACTAAGTGTAAAAAAATTTTAGAGAATGTATTTTGAAATTAGCATTTATTGACAGAGTGATAATTTTGACTTGTATCCGTTTATGTTTGATTTCTTTCTAGATGGGAGCATTTGATTTACCAGTTTGGAGGCCATCAGGAATTAATTGATTATGTTATAGCTAAAGGAAAAGTCATCTATAAAAAATGATTGATCTGTAAGGAAAGAGCACACTGTTCTACTGTTTAAGTCAATACAGTTATATTAAAAGTTAAAATACCTTAGTAGGTTACCAGAATGATGTCACTTAAATCTGTTTCTGTATTTTGTTTATCCACTTGAAAAACCCAGGGGATTCACTTATTTTAACATGTGCACCTGGACGTATAAGCAAGTAAACCATTGGTGATGATAATCTCAAAGGATTAAATTACTTCACAAAGATTTTCTATACATATTCTGCAGGTTAATATGGTGGAGTATCACAGAAATGCCTTTGTGGGGAAATGCAGATTGGCAAATAGGTAGACATGGCTTAAAATTCCCATTTTGCTTCTACTTTTCAAATTTCAATTCTTAGACTATATTTACTGAAAATTGCGGGGGGGGGAGTGGGAAATCCAAGTCAAATGCCACAAACTAAGCTAAAATGTAGCCATCTGTAATAAGCAAATAGTTTTTCTTTTCCCCACACAGTGTGTCTTTCTAGGTGCTCTTCAAATGCATTAGGGTCCTCTGAGGGAAGGTGTTCTTCTGTTTTCTTCTCAACCCTTGCAATAGAGCTTCACAGCAGAGCTCAGGACTTGTCATTTTGTACACAAGTATAGGGACCTTCTTGTAACAGATGCATTTTGACCAAATCCAATAATGTAATTTTTTAAAAAGTTTTAAAGTTTTTGATTCTTCACATTACAAATGTATAAAAAATCTATAGCTTTCAATAAATATTTGCTGTCACTATTATTGTTGTTGTTTACAGCCCTGGAAGCCAGTCAGTGGTGTCTATTAGAACCTTTTAGGAAATGAACAAATTACAGAAGAAAGTGGATTACATAAAGAAAAAGTGGATGACTATATAAACGAGTGTTTCTAAAGCCATGTGTTTACTTGAAATGTTTTTAAACGCTTTGATCATTCTTACAATCACAACTGCATGATAAAACTTTGTCCTATTTATGAAGAAATGACGAGAGAAGTAAACATTAAGTACCCAAATTATCACCTATTTCAAGTTAATAGAGCCTGAACCAATGAGGCTTTACTGTATTCAACATAGATCAACTCAAGATACCCCTTGTCAGAAGGTTAAGGGTAACAGGGCACATCGCTATCACGGGCTAGTAGCGTGGGGTACCTGGAGCTCTGCCCCTCACATGCTTGGCGAAGAAGCCGTGAGGGGGTGTGGGAAGCATGAGTTGCTGTGGGAGACGCCTCCCCTATGACCAGTTTCCTAGTCGACGGTGGGAGTTCGGGATGCAGGAGATACATATAAAGGCCCAAACTAAAGATTAGGTCTGTCCTGGAACCCAAGCCACGTAGAAGTATATCCTTATAACTACGGAATAAAAAGGTGAAGCACTTCCTATTTTCTTTCTAGGAGATATTCACTCTACACAAGGAGTGTTCATGTCTTTTTTGAATGAAAGCAGAAGATACCCACCTGGAACTGCTTTAGTCCTCCCAGGCCAGTGTCCTGTAAGCTCTTGCAACTCATAGGAGCTGGCTGGAAATGCAGAACTTCAGTTCTACTCCAGACCTGCTGAAACAGAATCTGGTCTTGACAAGCCCACAGGTATTTGTATGCCCGTTCAAGTCTGAGAAGGGCTGTGGTCTAGACCCTAGCCACATGGACTTTCACACTGTGCCTCAAAATTGCCATTTGTTTTTGCTGCTCCAGGCCTTGCAGCACTGTTCCCTCTGCCTGGAGTGCTTGCCCTCTCTTCTCTAAGTGGGAAGTCAGAGCTAGCCACTGCCCCCCACACCAAGCTCCCATTCCTCTATGATAGCCTCTGTAGCATTGCAATCAAACTGTCTTTCCCTTTAGATTGTGTGTTAGTAGAGGGCAGTGGCCTGGTCATGTCCCCAGGATCTAGTGTAGTGACTGGTTCATAGTAGGCGATCAGTGAATGAATTAATGAATGGCTGCACAAGCATACAGACGGTCCTAGGGAAAACTGCTTATTAAAACACACTCAGCAGGCCAACCCAGGAATGCAGTGTTAAGGAAAATACTTGTTATGTATATTGGAAAAAGCATATGAATTCCTGAATATAATGGATGATGCTTACGGGGGAGTAAAGTGGAAAAGTGAAACCCAGCGAGAAACAATTCCATGGCTGGGTGGAAAAGGGCATGGCCATCCTCAGCTTGAGAGATTGGAAAGATTTTGATGTGAGGGAAAGGCTCCGGAGATGGAGCATCATGGGGTGTTCAGAAGGGGGGCGTGCCTGAGTCTTCCTAGAGTGGAGGGTTCAGTGGGGGTGGGGAAGGTCAGATCGACTCAGGTTGGGTCTTAGTTGCTGCACGCGGGCTTTCTCTAGTTGCGGCGAGCGGGGACTACTCTTTGTTGTGGTGCACGGGCTTCTCATTGCGGTGGCTTCTTTTGTTGCAGAGCACGGGCTGTAGGCACGCGGGCTTCAGTAGTTGTGGCTCGCGGGCTCCAGAGCACAGGCTCAGTAGTTGTGGCGCATGGGCTTAGTTGCTCTGCGGCATGTGGGATCTTCCCGGACCAGGGCTCGAACCCGTGTCCCCCGCACTAGCAGGCAAATTCTTAACCACTGTGCCACCAGGGAAGTCCTGGAACTTCATTCTTAAAGTCAGGGGAAGCCACTGCAAGTTTCTGAACAGGTTAGGCCCAGTACAAGAGTGTTGTGGCAGAAAGATTATTCTGGTTTTAGTGAACAGAGTAGGCACTCAGGTATGTGCTGTGTGAGTGGACTCTGGCAAGACACCTTAACCAAGTCCTCTGGTGGAGACAGTAGGAGGTATCAGGTGCTAGAAATCTGGGTGGAAAGCTCTGGAAATGGCACAGTGAGGTGTGAACGCACTGACTAAAATTGGTTTGAAAAATAAGGAAGTTCCTCTATGGCATACATCACAGCAAGACCCTTTTTGACCCGCCTCCTAGAGTAATGGAAACAAAAACAAAGACAAACAAATGGGACCTAATGAAACTTAAAAGCTTTTGCACAGCAAAGGAAAACATAAACAAGATGAAAAGACAGCCCTCAAAATCCGAGAAAATATTTGCAAACGAAGCAAGTGACAAAGGATTAGTCTCCAGAATTTACAAGCAGCTCATGCAGCTCAATATCAAAAAAACAAACAACCCAATCCAAAAATGGGCAGAAGACCTAAACAGACATTTCTCCAAAGAAGATATACAGATTGCCAACAAACACATGAAAGAATGCTCAACATCATTAATCATTAGAGAAATGCAAATCAGAACTATAATGAGGTATCACCTCACAGCGGTCAGAATGGCCATCATCAAAAATTCTACAAACAATAAATGCTGGAGAGGGTGTGGAGAAAAGGGAACCCTCTTGCACTGTTGGTGGGAATGTAAATTGATACAGCCACTATGGAGAACAGTATGGAGGTTCCTTAAGAAACTAAACATAAAACTACCATATGACCCAGCAATCCCACTACTGGGCTTATACCCTGAGAAAATCATAATTCAAAAAGAGTCATGTACCACAATGTTCATTGCAGCTCTATTTACAATAGCCAGGACATGGAAGCAACCTAAGTGTCCATCGACAGATGAATGGATAAAGAAGATGTGGCACATATATACAATGGAATATTACTCAGCCATAAAACAGAACGAAACTGAGTTATTTGTAGTGAGGTGGATGGACCTAGAGTCTGTCATACAGAATGAAGTAAATATTCTCAGAAAGAGAAGAAGAAATACATATGCTAATGCGTATATATGGAATCTAAAAAAAAAAGATGGTTCTGAAGAACCTAGGGGCAGGACAGGAATAAAGATGCAGACGTAGAGAATGGACTTGAGGACATGGGGAGGGGGAAGGGTAAGATGGGACGAAGTGAGAGAGAGGCATGGACATATATACACTACCAAATGTAAACTAGATGGCTAGTGGGAAGCAGCCGCATAACACAGGGAGATCAGCTCGATGCTTTGGTGCTTTGTGACCACCTAGAGGGGTGGGATAGGGAGGGTGAGAGGGAGACGCAAGAGGGAGGGGATATGAGGATATATGTATATGTATAGCTGATTCACTTTGTTATACAGCAGAAACTAACACACCATTGTAAAGCAATTATACTCCAATAAAGATGTTAAAAAAAAAATAAGGAAGATCATTAGCTCCCCCTCGGAATTTCACAGGAAGGACAGGCTTTAGGAGTGGTTTACCCAGCCGCTCAGTAATCCTGAAGACCCAGATCCCTTCCCTCCCTCTGTTCTGTCCTCCAGTGTTGGTGGCGCCCCAAGGCCAGGTTTCCCCAGGTGTGGCTGACTCGCAGCAGCCAGAGGGGCTTTGTGCTTTCTCACTGGGGTCAAGCAGAAGAGGGAGAAAGCCTGGCTGTCACGGCTCTCAGGAGAGAAAGCGTTTTCTCAAGCCTGCAGTAAAATTCTTCTGTCTCATTGGCCCAAATTGCAACCTCCGCTGTCTCTTGAACTAATCACCCAGTAAAGGGAATGGGACCGCCTTGAGACGAACCAGGCCTGTACCCTGAGCTGAAATGAATTTCCTCCAACTCTTTTTGTGGTTTTGTTTTTTGGTATAATTTCAGTGTTTCCATTTAATAAGTTAATACCTTCAACCAAAGTAAACCCCCAAATGCAAAATGATCATGCTATTCATGAGATAATTAGAAGGTTTAATAAAAAAGCTAATCATCCAGGGACCAGATTCAGAAAAGAGACACAAGTTTAAAGTAGTAATGAAAAGTAGCTTCCTGGGAAGTTTTCAGGTTATGTGTGGAATTTCATGTATGTGGCAGACTGTGACAGCTACAGCCCCCAAACCACACACCCACGCCCTTGTGTGTTACTCTCCCAAACTCACTTGGGCTTGATGCGTGACTTGCTTTGGGCAACAGGACATTAGCAAATGTGGCACAAAAGAAGCTTGAAAATCCCTTGCGCTTTGGGGTTTGCTCTGTGGCTGCCCCGAGAGAACAGGTGAAGAAGCCCAGGTGAGCTCACTGGGGCAGAAATCGTGATGCCTCCAGCTCTTCTGGGCTGCTCAGTGGGGAAGAGAGAGAATGTATACCGAATCAATCACATTTTCTAAAGACACTTTGTACCGTGTGAACATTCACTGACGAAATCTTTCAGAAATGTAATTAACTGCAGTTAGAATAACCTTTCCCTGACAAGGTGTTAAACTTTGTTATAAAAAAATCTAAGAATACAGCAATGACATAAGACAATTGAGACTTAGTTTATTCCACATTTACCTTGAAACTCCCTTGATGGCATAGTACAGAGCTGTGTAGAAAACTCAATGACAGAGGGCCCCGGAGGACTGCGCGGGCCTGTGGGAAACCAACCCGCCCCGTACCAGTGACGAACAGCCATCAAACCACTGGGTTTACTGACTCCACTGCAGCTCGTGGATAAGAATGAATAAACTTCATTTGTGTGTTTACATTTCAGCAAAGAACAGCATCAAGAAACACCTTTCGGCGAACAGGTTCCTCAGCACATTTTGCTTCACTGAATTTTGGTTTGCACTCCTGTCTCTACCTTTCCTGTGGACAGGCTGCAACCTAAGAGGAGACTCTACCGTGAAAAGGCTGTAATCAGGTAGGCAAGCTGGCAGGTGTGCCTGTCCTTTCCTTGACCAGCTGCTGTTGTTAGAGCCGTGGGGGTCACATTCCTGCACTTGGAAAGCGCCTTGCTTATGTTTGCACAGAAGGGTGCAAAGTCACAGCTTCGGGAAGCCAAGAAGTCATGTGACCCATCCTTCATCGGGACAATCACACTTAAGCCTTTCCAGCAGGTTCTTTATCTTCTTTGGGGGGAGGGGAGGGAACAGATTGGGTAACATCCTAGGGCGCATCTGACCTTTGTCAACGGGGCCTTGTTTTAATGATTACTCTTATAGAGAGGGGGTTGGTTAACTTCTGAACATCAGATTCCCTAGCTGTGAAATGAGGAGGCGTCTTAAGCTGGGTTATTACAAGAATGTGAATAGAGTACTAACACATGGTAAATTTAGTAGCAATAACACTAGCCTTCTACTCCAGTTTAAGCATCTGAATCCTTTTTCTGATATGTGTGGTGACATCTGATAAATATGAAACGCACGATTCATTGAGAACCACTCCCACAGCAATCTTTATATTCATTCCTTAACTCCTTTACACAGAATCTCTTGTTGACCTATTGACTATTCTTTAGTATGATTCCATGAATAAAAGAAAAAGCAGCTTAAGAACTAATTATGACTTAAAAAGTGTTGTTTACAAAGACATATTAAGGAACATTCATCATAGCATGGTACAGTACAATCAGCCAAAGTTAACTAGTGGAGAGTTTGACAAAGCAAAAAAAAAAAAAACCAAACAAACCCAAAACAAAACAAAAAGATTCACAAAAG